ACCCTAATTTTAAATCCCAAATCGGAATAAAACCCCAATAAGAACCAAGAGAGAGAGGAAGAGGGAATGAAGCCTACTCCCTACGCGAGCTAAACCAGAAGGAAGAAGAAAAGAGTCCTCCCTTAAGAGAGAATTTTCTAATGGGATTCTATGTATATGTCTGATATCTCTATTAGGGTTAGGTCAAAAGTTAATGTAACCCCTTTTTTCTTTTTTTCTTTAAAAAAAAGGTAATTGAAAGGAATCCTAAGTCATTGTTATTAAAATTTCTCTTTAGAGTAATAAAAACATTTAATTTTAGAAAATATTAATTAAATTTTTATTATTTTTTTTTCGGGTAACGAGTATCCGTTAGATAGTATAATACTCACATCCGGCTCGTTTAGAAGCGGGTATTGAAATACCCGCTACTCGTTACCTGCGGGTAATAAATATCCGCGGATAATAACTATCGATCGCAGGTTTTATCCGATGGTATTCGCAGGCACGAATTTTTTTGTCATCCCTATTTACCACCATTGCGCTTTAGTCATAGTAAAATTTTGGCACTTAATTTGTTAATGAAATTTGTCAATAAAAATATTCGTCAATAATAAAAATTATAAATTTACTAACAGATCTATTATTAATGAATCTTTTCATTAATAATAAAAAATTTAATTTAATCTCAATTATTGAATAATAATTACGTCACTAATTAAAATTCTAAAATATATTTAATAAATCTTATTTTCAAGAGATTTCTTCTATTAGTCAAATTATTGTATCAATTTAGAAAAAAAAAATATATGTAATCAAAATATATCCTAACAAATAATACCCTATGTATAATTTAATCATTTTTATGAGATGAGATCCGTTAGTTCTTTCTCTGACCATCCGGACCCTCTGGCAAGCGCCAAAAGAGGAAAAAATAAAGTAAATGCAACAAANCACAGTGTTGAACATTTAAGGATTTCTGAAAGCGTTTAAAAACACAGCAAAAGATAGCAAAGATGAAAACTCGTTTTTATACCGAACTTGAGCTACGTCCATTTCTCCTTTAAACACTTTTAAAGGGTTTCACTAACTTTAATAAGTTATAATGAGTTTCACCACTCTTTGTTTTACAATTGCCCAATTGGCTAAAACCGTTTAATTCCTCCAAAGTTAAACAAACCAAGTGTTTTAAATCACTCATGATTATCCAAAAATAACAAAGTGTTTTTAAAACACGTACAAATGAAAACCTCTCTTAGAGGTGATATAGATCAATACAAAGTATATGTGAAAATATTGTTACAAAGATATTTTCTCAAAGTTAGACGATGCATTATCATAGATAGAGAATTTTGGCAGTGTAGGAATATGTGCAATTAATTTGTTTCTTATATCTTGTTATTTCTCTTCTTCATGCAGTCTCCTATTTATAGGAAACTTCGAAAAAGATTTGTTACTCTAGAGCATTGACTTTGGTATTGTTGTAGCCTTTTGTATGTTGTCAAATGCTACTTTGCTTGTATAGAAAAATTGAGTTGTTGTACGGATTGGTCAGACAGAAAACATTGAAGAAATATTCCTAGAATATCTTTGTATTTCTTAACATCCTTTTGAATCAGCATAGAACTTTTGAATAAAGTATTTATTCTTGAAGGGTTTGCATAGATAAAGAGAAACATACAACAAACAAAAAGTATTTGTAGATTGGATTTAAAATGTTAAACGTTTATTATAGCGTTTAGCATAGTCCTTGTACTATAATGTTTGTTCTCTTTATCGTTTAAGATAATGTATTGAGTTTAGGATATTTTGTTCTCTTTATCGTTTAGGATATTATTTAGACATATATATACACAAAATTCATCGACAATTGAAATAAATTCTTAGTAAACTAAAATTACTACAGATCCTTGACGGTTAAAAGTTTGTCGATAAACTACTCATTAATAATTTTATCAACAAATAGGAAAAATTATGAATAATTATTAACTATCAAAATTTGTTGATAATTATTTATGAAGAATGGTAATTATCTAATTGTTAATTTGGTTTTTCTCTCTCTTTTTTCATTTTCTTTTTTATCTTATTTCCACATCCTTCTTATCATGATAGTCATTCCGATTGCTTTGCCACTAGGGATGGCAACGGGTTGGGTCTGGCATGGATAGTGCCTACCCGCAACCTGACCCGCATGCAAAAAACCATACCCGCAACGCGACCCGCTACCCGTTGGATATCCGCATAAAAAATATTCGCGGACTTTTTTCAACTCGCAGATACCCATTGGATACTCGTTTTCAACCCACAAATATTTAAAAAATATATTTTGTGAATTATTAAATAAGGTTTAAATTAAATTACAAGTTAAAGAGAATAATTTAATATATTTGCTACATATTAAAAAGACACAATGTAATTTTTAAATAAGTTAAAAGAAAAAAAATATGAACAACTTTTGAAAAAAAAAGATATGAACAAGAAACATGCCGTAACTGAAGTCTCAATTTAGTCACAGGATTAACCCACAAATACCTATCAATGTACGAAATAGAGAGATAAACAATTTTCAAGAGAACGCAAACAGGAACCCTAAATCTTAATTCCGAAAACGAACGCAATCACAGAAATCTTCAAACCGCGATAACCATCATGGTCTTAAAAAGTCCAATCTGCATCAATGAATTAAAATCCAAAAAAACTCAAAACACTCATTCCAATCATAACCCCAAAATCGCGTCACCAATCAACAGGGAAGAAATCAAGAAACGAACTCCCAAAACGCAAATCAAAATGTACAAAAGAAATCCCCAAAATCAGAGAACAAATAAAACCCTAATTTTAAATCCCAAATCGGAATAAAACCCCAATAAGAACCAAGAGAGAGAGGAAGAGGGAATGAAGCCTACTCCCTACGCGAGCTAAACCAGAAGGAAGAAGAAAAGAGTCCTCCCTTAAGAGAGAATTTTCTAATGGGATTCTATGTATATGTCTGATATCTCTATTAGGGTTAGGTCAAAAGTTAATGTAACCCCTTTTTTCTTTTTTTCTTTAAAAAAAAGGTAATTGAAAGGAATCCTAAGTCATTGTTATTAAAATTTCTCTTTAGAGTAATAAAAACATTTAATTTTAGAAAATATTAATTAAATTTTTATTATTTTTTTTTCGGGTAACGAGTATCCGTTAGATAGTATAATACTCACATCCGGCTCGTTTAGAAGCGGGTATTGAAATACCCGCTACTCGTTACCTGCGGGTAATAAATATCCGCGGATAATAACTATCGATCGCAGGTTTTATCCGATGGTATTCGCAGGCACGAATTTTTTTGTCATCCCTATTTACCACCATTGCGCTTTAGTCATAGTAAAATTTTGGCACTTAATTTGTTAATGAAATTTGTCAATAAAAATATTAGTCAATAATAAAAATTATAAATTTACTAACAGATCTATTATTAATGAATCTTTTCATTAATAATAAAAAATTTAATTTAATCTCAATTATTGAATAATAATTACGTCACTAATTAAAATTCTAAAATATATTTAATAAATCTTATTTTCAAGAGATTTCTTCTATTAGTCAAATTATTGTATCAATTTAGAAAAAAAAAATATATGTAATCAAAATATATCCTAACAAATAATACCCTATGTATAATTTAATCATTTTTATGAGATGAGATCCGTTAGTTCTTTCTCTGACCATCCGGACCCTCTGGCAAGCGCCAAAAGAGGAAAAAATAAAGTAAATGCAACAAAAAACAAAATGCCTGTAACCTTGTTGCTACCAAATGCTCATGCACTATCAGAGTTAGGCTGAGATTATAAATTGGTGTGTTCATCTGAGTGGGAGAAAAGTGGGGAAAGTAAAATTGGGATATGATTCTGCCAACAACTTATGAGGCAATACACATAAAACCTACATTTCCAGTTATCACTTTCTGTTCCACCTATATATTAAATTTTTGTTCTTTTCCTTTTGTCCCGGTGTTGAGCACCTGCATCCCACTAAAGAAATAAAGAAACCTTCATTTTAATAATTAATGTTTCTTGTTTAGTCATCATGCGTAACAAAACAACGCCATGTATAACAAATTTACATCATTGTAAGAGATGCACTATCTTTTATCCTTCAGACAACAAAAACAAAAGAAAAGGTCTGATGGGGCTTTGTCTTAATAAACATCACTCCCTTTGTTCTGGTTTCGATACAGTGTACCATAACAGAAGTAGCACGATAATTTTAAGGAAGTTGAGACTATGTACCAAACAAAAGGAAGAATGCAATAAAATGGAGATAGAACTGTGCAAAAAGGTCTTGTCAGAAACCACACGTTCATTTTCTTCCTTTTTCCATTGCATCAATCAACAAAACAATTCGTTAGAAGATGAAAACTTGTGTTTCCATTATCCATGGATAAATTAATGTTACATTTTGCAGATCAATTGTTAATGCTAATAATATATTATAATAAATTTACTTAAAGAACCTAATTTACGACACTGTTATCTCCAATCGATTACTTAATTGATGATCAGAGAAAACCTTACTTATTTGGATAAGCTATGCCTAAAGTTTCTTTGTTATCTTGCTAACCTTTCCTCGCAGAAGGGTTTCTTTGTTTTGTGAAATGATGACACCACCTAATATTAAAGGTACCTTTTGTTTTTCACTTTCTTTAAGTTATAATATACATTTAAGTTAAATACATAGTTAATATACAAAAAATTGTAAAACTTGCAACGAATTATAAATAACGTGATTTTTAAATAATAATTATGAAAGTCAATAATTTACCATACACAATAATGCATATAAATAGAATGATTAGAAAATAAGAAAGATATATCCTGGAAGATAATTAATATAATAAGATTTGATTAGCCCAAATGGGTAACTGAGAATCGTTTGTGATTAAGTTAAACTTAATTAGAATTAATTTGATCACATGAGGGGATATATTTTGTAGAAGATAAAATAAAGAAAGAGTAAAAGAGAGATTCGAAAGATTTTCAAAAGACAGCAGAAAGACGTCTCCTTTTTATAAAGAAAGAAAAGATAGCAATAAAATAGAATCTATTCTACAGAATATTTTGTCACACAATATGCTTCAACTTACTATCCTTCTACATCAATGTCTTCCACTCACAAAGAATTAATTGCTGAAAATGATGAAAAGAGAAATTAAAGGGACGAAAAACAACAATAATTGAATAATTGGTAAAGCTGATCAGGCGGTGGAGATCCACACGACATGCAGTTCTGTAACACGAATCCACCCGAAAATACATAGAACAACGTTTTGAAAATCAATGGAGATGATATTACAGTAAATAATTTGCTTGTTATTGACATTTTTTTTAAAAAAAAATCCCTTTCAGTTAGTCATTTTTCTTGTTATTTGTAAACAGATATGAATGGAAAAGCTATTATGATATAGGTGCATATGCTCACACTATTTTACTTAGTTAAAAGTGTAACATGCTGTCTATGAAAACCCTAAAACAGATCCTATACATAGACAGACAGATGAGATCTTGAGACTCATGATGAGAAATTTGGATCCAATGATTGAAAACAGTGAACAAGAGAATGATATATAGGACACTGAAACTGAAGTAAGCATGACAGAAAGATCTGAAAATGAGTAGAACCAGAATTCAAAAAGCAAATGATGGCTGCCCTTTTTCTATCGTGTTGAAGACAAGAAGGGCACATGTGCAGTCAAATTTTTTCATCATTACACGGATCCACCACTGAATCTCACTCACCATGAATCTCCACAGATAAAAAAGGGAACACAATATAATCAACGCAAAAGGGTATAACAGATGAGTGTGTATAAAGCTGAAAATTCAAAGAAAACATAATTATTATTATAACTGACCTAGAGAGGATCGTGATTTTGATGATGGAAGCTGTAATTGAGGGGAATGAAGCCTGGTCCGAGGAGACAAAACATAATCTGCAGATGTAATATAGAATTATTGCATCTGAATGATCTGATGTGAAGGTGGAGTTATATATTATCGATTTCCTTGGACCACGCAGCATTCCCCTCAAAAGATGATAGCTTCCGGATCTTGTTCATTATAGCTGTATATATGACTAACCCTTTGACACAAAGAAGGTGCTTTCGGTTGTGTTTGGTTCTGATATGGAAGAAGGCACCATATTTGAAGGAATGAAATAAAAAAAAAAAATGATTTGGTTTCAAAAGAAAGTAAAAGTAACGCGAAGAGACAGAGAGAGAGTGGAGGATGTGAATGGATGGGGTCTGTTGGTGATGGTCATTTCTGGAACACAGCTGTAGTTGTTGGATGAGAGGGTTTAAAGGTGACCATTCTCTCTCTCTCTCTCTCTCTCTCTCTCTCTCTCTCTATGCTATGGAAGCACTAAGGTAATGAATGGAGTTTATTATTTCTTGTTTCTGCCATTATAACTCTTTCATTCACTCTAACTCTACTTGTCTTTTATTGTCTTGGGGGAAAATAATCACCATCTTAATAGTAGATTGTCCAAAACAAAAAGAAACAAAGTAGATAAAGTAATAAATGTAAAAAGAATTATAAAGTATTCGAAGGAAGAACTTCAATTCTTCCCATAATATTTCGAAGTAATAAGATTAGTTTAATGAAGATTAGATTAATGATTTTGAAAGAAAAAATAGAAAGACAGATTCAATTATCCAACAATAAAGAAACAAAATAAAAGAACAAAACTTTATAAATATATTAATAGATAAGAAATTGTAATAAATAAAACTTCTTACATTATTAGCAGAGATTATCTTTTTACATTAAAAAGTGTTTATATGCGTGTAGTTTTGATAAACTTTTGCATCGAAATTGTTAATTGCAGACCGATTAAAAGATAAGAATTACTAAAGCTCAAACTTTAAGAAAAAATTATTTGATATTGTTTCTGTAGAATAAAAAGATCCTCGTATAGGTAAAAGAAGTATCAAACAATAAGTCCGTTATTTAAACTAAAAATAATAATAAAAGATTCCAAATTGGCCTTAGATCGTATTCACGTGAGAGTAGTTGTAAATAATTGTACACTATAGACACACATCAGTTTTATATATTGTTTAAGTTAGACGCATTTTTTTTATAATATAAAGCAGTAAAACAAATTTCCCAATTAATATATTTTCTTAAAAAACTCACTTTAATTATGCTTTGGGTATGAATGTATGTATATATCGAAATGCAAAGGATCACCAAATTTTTAGACAATATCAAACGAATACGGTTCCCATGTCATTGAATGTAAATATAGTTTTTTTTTTTTTGTGTTTCTTTTAGTCGAACTAATAAAAAAAATTTGTCATACATCTAAATTATCATGGTCGTACTTACGAAAGTAAAAAGGTATAAGAATAAAATTGATTTAATTAAGTATATATTAGGTGGTCCACTTTGATACCATAAATTGGATTAATTTTGAAGCTCGAAATATTCCATAACAAGTTGATAACTTTACTCATATTACGCTAAAAGAAAGTGACGTGTACTACAGATTTTTCATACCTAAGTTTTAGCATCTTTAGTTGATTACAATAAAAACAATATTGCAGTCGCAACATTAATGCTAATAAATTAATAAAGATTGTGCAGATCAGTGAATAAATAAACGAGCATCGTTTATCAATCACCCAAAATAACCCATAAAAAGCTGTTTTAGACATTACTTTTTTCTCTCATTTGAACTTTTAGACGCTACTTTTTGAAGAATTAGAATGTATGCTTATCAATGTAAGTTTTCTTTTCTTTAATAGAGATTTATTGAATCACATAAAATGTTTTGCATACATAACGTATTTGTTTCTTCGAGTTTTCCAATAAATTTGCATGTATAAAATTAAGGTTACAGCACATGCATATGTAGATTTAATTTAGCAAAAAGTAGTGAAGAGATTGAGGTTGGAAGAGGCTTAGATGTGCATGAATCATATGACAGTTCGGTCACCCCAATTCCATGTATTGTCGGGAACAGTAGATGCATGCATGCGTAGATGTTGTGCTGTGAAACAACTTCCATGCATGCACTGGGTTCTTTCAAATGAGATCAAGGAAAAAATATAAGTTTTATTAATTATTTAATATATCAATGATTTACTAATTTAATGATATAATGTAAAGTTAAGTGAATGTATAAACACGTTCATGTATCAATATTCTGATTGTTCGTTGAAATATTGTTCTTAGAATGAATCTTCTTATCTTAAATATTGTTCGTTTTTAAATCTAATTTTTTTCATAATTTTTTCTTTAAAAAGTAATTTAAACAACTAAAAAATATATTTAAATTATTCTTAATCTTAATTCATAAACAATGTAAACTATTAAAATTACGAAAGAATATTGCAAATAAATTAACCTTTCAACTCTTCAAAGCCAACCACGATATACATATAATTGTCTTTGGACAAGTAGTTGTGTATATTTCGGGAATATTTTCTCCAGAATAATAAACTTAATAATTAAGAATTAATTATAAGTTATACATTTTAAAGACAAGTCCAGAAGGTATGTTTGGCTCAACAAGTCGAAAAACAAAAATAAAGTATTGGGCTAACTTAAGAGGCCTTTCTTCGTTATCTCCCTTTTTTCCTTTCTGCACTCCATAAAGATGTAATTCCCCATTACTCCTTATTAAAATTATAATAAAAATCTCTAAATTTCTTTATTTTCTATATTTTTGAGAATGGATATTTTGAAATATATTTTTTGAATTGAAAATTATTTTCTGTAAAACTCCGAAAAATGGTATTTTAGAAATAATGGTATTCTAAAACTATTGAGACTCGATTATTTTAATATTAAATAGTTTTATTATAAATAGTATTGTTATAAACGAGTTTCATTATTTTAAAATGTATCATCTCTCTAGAAACCACTTCTTTAGAGTTCTCTACCATCTCTCTAAGAGTTCTAACAAGTCATTTCTTTGATTATCAGGAAGTGTTTAATCGACCACGGCAACGAGGTTTACGTTTCTATCCGATCAGTTTCTATAATAGAGTAAATAAGTTTCAGTTCATTTTTGCTCTTTTTTCTCTTTATTTGTTATCTTCGTGTTAATACTCTTTGTGTTTAGATGATGATAAATGATCATATGATGTTTGGATGCTTGATATGGTAGGATTTCATTGTTGTTGTTGTATGATTGTGTTTAATGAAGTGTATTTAAGTTTGAAATTGAAGTCAAAGTGTTTGGAGTTAAGAGGAATCAAAGACTTGAGTTGTGAGGTTAAAAATAGAGGGTTTGATAGATGAATTGGAGGGATAGGTATTGGGGTGAGAGAGCAATTGTTTCAGGGCTGTTATGAGGTCATTTGAGACTTGTTAGAGTGGTTTGTTAGTTGAAATCTAGTCTAGACAATGTTAGAAGTATTTTTATTAATGTTTTGAATTGGTTTTAACTACATTTTTGGGGTTTGGAGTAGTGAAATTTGAGTTATAGGTTATGAGTCACATTGGTTAGTTTACATGTTATTGGTAACTCATTTTAGACTTGTTAGAGTCCCTAAGCTACTTAAAAATAAGCTAGAACAGGTAGGCTTCAATTTTGATCTCTAAGTTGAGATTTTAGTTGTTTTTGAGTGGATGCATTGTTGTAAACAGTTGGTTATTAATTTAATATAGGTCATACTAGGCATGGCCTAGAGGAACTCAGCGCAAAACAACTCATCCTTGAAGGAGATGACTTGGGTGGTCAGCCTAGGTGGATGCCCTAGATGGTCGACCTGGGTGGTGCTCGGTCCCAAGGAAGACTGTATGGTACATAAGCCCCCCAAACTTGAGCATGATGTTATTTTGTGAAGGGGTTGTGCACTTCTCACTCCTGATAAGGATGGGTTCTTCAATTGGCTTTTGTTTTTGTGTCTTCTTTATTCGTTGATTAAGGTGAGTGGTTGGAAGACTAAAACGGGTCGTACCTTTGATAGCCGAGCCAGATATACAACTCGTCCTTCTTAAGCAACATGCCATAGATATCCACGGTCTTCAATTTCGGTGAGGCTAGTCGGGATTTCTTTAGTGAAGATCCACGATCACCGACCTTCAGGTGAGGCCGACCGGGATTCCGTTGTTGAAGATTTGTGGTCACCGATCTTCGTTGAGGCCCCGATTGAGATTCCTTTGGTGAAGATCCATGGTTACCAACCTTCGGTGAACCGGCCATAATTCCTTTGGTGAAAATCCACAGTTATCGACCTTCAGTAGGTCAACAGGGTACCTGTGAGGCCATGGGTCACCGAGTAGTTGAGGTCAAGGTAAGGTAGAACACCTGAGGCCAAGTTTGGTTGGGTACTCTGAGGCCATGGGTGACTAACAATTGAGGCTAAGGTATGGCCGAACACTTTAGGCTGAACATTTGAGACCAAGTATGGTCGAGTACCTGTGAGACCATGAGTGATCGAGTAGTTGAGGCAAAGGAATGGGCGAACACTTCAGATCAAGTGTGGCTGAGTACCTATGAGGCCATAGGTGGCTGAACAGGTGAAGCCGATTTATGGATGAACAATTGAGGCCGAAGACTTTAGGTTGAACACTTGAGAAAAAATGTTGTCGAGTACATGTGAGGTCATGGGTGGCCGAGTAGTTGAGGCCAAAGTATGTCAAACACTTGAGGCCGAACAGTTGAGGCCAAAGTATGGTTGAATAGTTGAAGCCAAACACTTTAGGTTGAACACTTTAGACAAAGTGTTGGCGAGTACATGTGAGGTCATGGGTGGCCTAGTAGTTGAGGCCAAGGTATGGTCGAACACTTTAGGCCGAAGACTTGAGACCAAGTGTGGTCGAGTACCTGTGATGCCATGGGTGACTGAACAGTTGAGGCCAAGGTATGGTTGAACACTTCAGGTCAAACATTTGAGATCGAACACTTGAGACCAAGTGCGGTCGAGCAGTTGAGACCAAATACTTTAGGCCGAACACTTGAGACCAAGCATTTGAGACTAAGTGTAGTCGAGTGGTTCGACCAAGTTTATGCTGAACAAAAATACAGAGGCCGAACGATTTGGCAATTGAGGTCTTCCAAAGTACCATTCATTAGTTTTTTATGGTTACAATAGGGGATACTCGTTTGGTCTCATGGTGGGCACCAAAAATTTTCGGGTATATGTTTGAGTTCCCTTACTCAAAGCACTTCAAGTTGTCCTAAACTCCCTAATGGTCTTCTATCATCCAAGTTATGTTGTTCTCTCTCCCTCCTTCTAGTCTAAGCCTTGCGGATAGGTACCTATCAAAGGCACTTTGACGCTCAAGTCAATAATATGACCGATCGGTTAACATAACAAGTAATGCATATTATGTGCATTCTCTTTTTTAAGTCATACCTTGGTCTTTTATTTATAATGGTTGTGATGAGCCTTTATCTTTAGTTGGCCTAATGCCGACCCAATCGCCCCTTAATCTACATTAGGGACTTAATGAGTCATTACCATTGGTAATCTGACCATACTGTTAGGTCATACTCGGCACGACCTAGAGGAACTCGGCGCAAAGCAGTTCATCCTTGAAGATTAATGACTTTGGTGGACGGCCTCGGTGGTCGACCTGGGTGGTGCTCAGTCCATGGGGAGACCGTACAGTAACTTCCACCCCTCCATAAACCATCGTTATACCGGAAAAGTACCTATCGTTATCTCGCTCGGTTGTCTCGAAGAAAGAAGAGGACATAGAGCTTGTACACGAAGATCGTGTATCATCGTCGGCGAGCCCCATGCAGCCCCTTTTCGATGACTCCTCAGACGAAAATAACTGAACGGTAGACATTTTATTATCCTGACACAAAGAATTAACTACACAGTAGGAATAATAAAGAAGAGAAATTGGTGAAAATAACAGTCAAAAGTAACCCCTATTTATTGAGGAATTATGTGTAATTATCGACGTCTTCTCACCGTTGGATTAAGCCACGATCAACAAACTAGATCAAGCGTCTTTGCCACTTCTTCAAGGTGCGAACCACGAGATGGTGCGAAGGGTCTTTCTACCAAACAAACACTCAACCACAATTCAAAAGTAACTCGATCAACTAAACTAGACAATCCCATAGTGGACGAGCTCCCACAAGCAATGTTCCCCACCACGAGCAGCCTGATACAACAAACCGCAGCACCATGTAAACCTGGCTCGTGCTTGAGGGGCCTGTGAGCCATATGACCGTATCGTCTTGTCTGTGGACAGCTGGTGGGGAGGTTCATAGCCTTAACACAACCTCTATTCAAATTTATTGGTAAGCCTTACTTATTAGAAGTTGGGTTGTGATTACAACTTTGCTAATCATAAGTCCTGCTTGAAACGTATTAATACAAGTCAAAGGTAAGAAAGTAAGTTATTGTATTTATTGCGAATTTAAAACTTTATTGTGACCCTCGATCGGTTTGATTATTCACTTGGAACGTAGAAAGAATTTGACTAAGTGTGCTCGGGATAATTTTAAGAACATTTATTCTAGAAGGTTTTTTCTTTTTAATAACCAAAAGAGCTTCTTCTCACCACATCTCCTTTCTCTATCAATCCTTCACCACTCATCACAGTTACCACCCATCACAACGGCATCAATGACTCCCCTTCCCCCTCTTTCGTAAGAATTCTTGTAAGATTCGCTGGACAACTCTTCATCTTCCTTTGCTCGACAATGCTTCCTCTTCCTCACAAGATTCTCTCCTACCAGGTCACAATACCTTATTATCCAAATCTTCTCCAATATGGGGAAGCTGGATCTGTCCATCACCATGGCACCAATGTTCATCGCGTCACGGAAACTCCCCGACGGCAACCACTGCTGGAAGGCGCTGAAGCATAACGTCAAAATGTCGGCATCACAGGAGAGAATGTTGTTCATAAGGAGTTGCAGGGTGCCAAAGAGGTGGTTGCGGAAGGTGTCAACGGCATTTACGGCGGTGCTAATGTTGACGGGTGAGGTGAGGAGATACATGCCATGATGAGCAACTATGAGAAGAGGGAGATTAGAGTTTTTAATATATTTTTAATAAAGGATATTAAAGACATTTCACTAGTGTTACAGGGTGCAGGAAAAAACAATGGGCTGCAAGAAGAAGCACTCTAATGTAAATAAGAAGAAACACGACTTTGACGTGTGCTTGTAATCAATAGAATGGAATTTCTTTCTGCATTTCCATGTTTTCCTTTCTGCACCTCCTAAAATGTAATATCTGTATTTTATCTTTGATTAAAATATATTAAACATGATAAATCTAGGTTTAATTCATATATTTTCCTTCTTTCGTGGCTTTCCAGAAGTGGTGCTAGTAAGCTGCACCTCCCTCCATCATTTTTGTTGGCCATTGAAGATTGTCTACCCAAGTGAGAATCTTTTCCTTCAGTCTGTGCAAGAGGTAACGAAGGAGTCCCAGACGGAAGGGAAAGTGAAGAAGGGTACGAAGCTGGGGTAGGTGGAGTCGCCGAGCTAGGTTCGCCACCCGCACGTGTCGAGCTTTCGTGCCAGTTCGTAATCGGGGCCATTCGTTCGGAGAAACTGTCAAAACCACACAACAGAACAATGAAGCCATTGTCTCTCAAACTCTTCACTCTCACCCTTTAGCTTGCATGATGTCGAGGTCAAATGGGGTCCAAATCATGCGTTCCTGATTCAGTATTCGTGGAAAATTTTCTTTTTAAATGTTCTGGAACAGACATTCCGCTAAATGTATTTCCAGGTATAGAAATACTTTTTTAGCTCTTAATTTGGAAAAAAAATTATATTTCGAATTAAGTATCTCATTTCTGAATTTGAAAATAACTTTTGAAATATCTGAAATATACTTTTTTACTGAAATAAGTGTTTTGAAATATATTTCTAGATTCAAAAATATTTTCTCAAATATTTATCCAAACAAAATTAATATTTCAGATTAAATATTGTAAACATTGATTCTGAGTAAAATATATTTCAGATTAAATATTTCAGAAAATATTTTCAGTTTTGGAAATTCATTCCAAAATGCTGAAAGAAAACAAAAAAAAAAACCGTAGAATTTTTTTATTATAATTTTAATGTAGGATAATTTGGAATTTACAAGTTTTGTAAGGATGCAGAAAGAAAACCCCCCGTTAGTATTGTCGTTTATATTAAGGAAGGATGCCTTTCCCGAATTAACTTTGGATATAGATGTGATTATTTGAATGACACTTTTTCTCCGCTAACTTTTAAATTTGAATTCCATTTCCATGCATTTTTATGTTTTAACTATACATTTTAAGAGTCATAATAATAATAAATGGAACATAATTAATACATTTAAAATAAAAGGTCAATTTATAATGTTTGAAATTTCCATTTATATATTTTAAAAAACAATTAAAACAAGAATGATAAAAAAGTTATATTAAGTTTTTTTTTTATCCATTTGGATCAATAAAGCCAATATTTCTTACAGGCATCGCATAATTACCGGTCGATCATATAATATAAAAATTAGAAAAGAATTAGTAATCTTTAATTCAAATTTAAATATCCTATGATAACAAAAATTTACTGCAAATACAAAAAATTAAAAGAAAAAGTTTAACATTAATTATCTACTATTAAATAAGAAAACATGGTATAAAAACACGTTGAAATAAAAATAAAATTTAAATTAATACTTATAAACAGGTTTAATTATATTCAATCCATAAATTATACACAACAATAAAATATTAAAAAATATTATGAATGAGATAAATCTTCCCCACTTTGACTCTCTGCATACTACGGATTATACAAGACATATCCATGCAATGCAAGTTGACAAACTTAAATATTTATTTATTTTGTTATAATGGACCAAGAATTGACCTGGATAACCTGTCCCACGTTATCATTAACTTCAAATAATTTTTAACAAATATAATTAAACAAACAGCAAAAAAAAAAATGAAAATTTCACCTTAACATAATACTAAAAAAAATATCTAGCCTGTGATAATAACTCTAGTACAAATAATTTTTCGTACAAAAGACAGAATTGTGAAAGATAATGTCGTCAAGCTAAATCACATGTCTGTGAAGAAATAACTTAAATGATGTAATTTGTCCTTTAACTCCAATAGTTTTTGAGAGATTTCTGTAAGAGAATTTGTCAAAAAGACTAACCCTTTAGGGATAAAATTATGTTTAGAAGTTGGCGGAACTCCATTGAAGGAAATTGTTGCAGATGAAGTTTGGAAGGTGAGATTTAGCGATCGAAGGAGATGGGTTAAAAAGAAAGGAAGTAAGAAAAAGAGTATTTGAAGTTTAGTTGGTGACATAGGACGTATGATTCTTGGTATGGAAAATTTGTCCATTAACCTTGATAGTTTTGACAATGATTAGACGAATCTATCTAAGGGTAATAATGATTGGAAGAGCAATCAGTTCATTTAGGACTTTGAGGCACCTAATACCTAACTTTGCGAAGCTATTGGTATGAGGGCCACCCATTTGGCACAATTGGCATCCCGACACCTATCCCTTCCTCAAAAGCATAAGGACCCATCTTAATACCTTCACGTTTACACGAACACCAACTTCTCGGATAATTCATACTTACCCAAACGGAAAGCAACCCAAATCATGGCCGTTTCAAGACAAATTTCATGTCCCTTTCACGAACAAATCAACTTCCCATCCACGGACCAAGCCAATGCCTCTCTCCCCACGCACTTTCTAGCATTATTTTTTCAACCATAAAATTTTTCAAGGTTAAATATTTTTAGTCTCAAATTTTTGTCACAAAAGACTTTTAGTTTGAAAACAAAAGAAACATGTGAAAGTTTGATTTCTGTGGTAGTACATATATAGTACTGTCTGTTTCTGGTTTTCTAAAAGGTTCATCCTCAACCAGTCCCACATTTTGTTGGGTAATTTTGTGTGCAGTTTAGCATTCCATAAGCTACTGTATCAGTGCAGTTTAATTAATTTTATTATGTGAATAGTTTACTTTTAAATGCTGAACTAAGAATAAATAGAAACAACATGACATATTTTAACTTGAAGTAGCCACTAGAGCTGTTCCAAGGATGAAGTATGTTTTTGTTTTGAACTAATGTAAACTCCAATGGAACAGACCAATATTGAGGAAGAAACTTGGAGGAGTTTGGAGGATGAATAATTTTTAAAAATGTTCGAAAAGTAATTCACTTGGCGTGCAATTGAGACATTTGTGGTGTTGGGGCATCTGAACTTCTTGACCTTAGCGTTTTTTGTTTTGCTTGTATGCACGAGACACATCACCAAACACCAACCAAGACTGCACCAACATAGAAAAACCAATCTGCAAAGGCTCTTAACCATGGACGGAGATTCATAAAGCAAACCTAAACCATGCTAAAGCTTAATTTGACAAGGACTCCTGTCCACAGTTTTGCTACAAAACAAAACCAGGAATTAAGTGGCTTCCTAAGGCCAACTAGTATGATTGGCAATAAATGTAAAAACTCGCTTTCCGTGATTTAACTCCATAATCTGGCAATATTTTGTCTGTATTAGGCTGCGTCTATTGACCCTTATCTTCTGTGCCATGGAAAATCTACATTATTAAATGATTCCCACTTCATCTTATCTCTTCTCTTATCTAACCAAATGACAGACACGGATTACAAACTTTCACTGTAGAATATATGTATCTATATATATATAGCTTATTCACTGCTTCTATTACAGGGTTTAGCAAAATGGTAAGGACTCAATATACACGATTACAATTAGGAATGATGAGCCTTTTTTTTTTCTAAATTTATCCTTTTCTACTTTACAACTCATGCTAAGAACACAGTTCCTTCATTTCCCTTTGATAACTTGTGCAGAGTATTAGCATTTGACTCAGCCATCAACTGTGTGCAGAAAAAAGACACTGCCCCTTTACCCTGTTAACTTTGCTATCAACTGTGTCAATCAGACACACTATCCGGTCATATTTTGTATGAGTTCATCGATCTTCAATATTTAGCCACCTAATTTAGAAAGCAACCTGAGAATAATGACACGGGATAAGAATTTTCTTGTCAACAGATCCAAACAACAAAAGAGAATAGGTCCACTTTTGACAGAAACATTAGTCCTTCCATAACAAAGTAACCTCCAATTTAGCTGGAACTTACAATCAAACAATATAATATCTTATTCTTGCCACCGTTGATTTTTGGCAGCCACTGCGTGAGAGTAGCTCAGCTGAATGATCAGTGATGTGCCATCCGAGTTGTATTTACCCCCTTTTCTTCAATCAAGTCCCGAAGAAATAGTTAACTTCTAGCATATATATATATAATGATGTGCATATATGGACCTTGTTTTGTGTCTGTTTCTAAGTTATTGTTGACCTTCTTTTCTTGTCACTTTTATTTCTTGAGATCAACAACCAATTAACCAAAGCTCTTCAAATATATGAATGTTCTTTAGTTATTCTTGATGATTACTTTCTCTTCTTAAACAAAGGCAAATCAGCGTTCTTATACGTGCTGCTGGCGGCATCTGAGTTGTAATATTATGATACTAATATTGGTTAATGTATCAGCAAGGTACTGTGTTATTGCCACAGTTAAAATGTTCAATTTCAATTACTGAAACAGCCACTTACATATAGAACCTGTAGATTTTCTTTTACCTGACAGAGTGAGTCATTAACTCTTACAGATGAAATTTACCATATAAGTTCCTTAACATGTATAATTCATCAAGTAAATAATCTTTGCTTCAATAGATACTTTTATAAATAAGTTTAATTTATTTCATATATTTAAAATCAACTCATACATTTGATCTTTCGCATAAACTCTTCCATCTAATTTCTCTGAAAGCTGAGATGATGAGCTGATTTAATTTATGCAGAAACTACATTAATTTTTCATTCTTCTATACAGACAAAAAATTGGTTTTGTTAACTTGAGAACTATTGTGGCCGACTGAATATACATTGCAAGGACTAATATCATATGACACGCTATATATTTGAGGGCTAATTTGGCTATTTTATTTTCTTCCCTGGTTTGGTTATAAAAAAGCAACAGATACGTGTGCTTGTGAGGGTGACAAGTGACAAGCAATCAGTTCCTTCTACAAACAAAATAGTATATGGCCGATAGATAGTCTACAAGTAAACGAAGGAAGCAAGATCATTTCTTCCTACTTAACAAAAGATAGAAAGAGACACACGGTATCTTATCCCATAGGACACCATGATCCTTCCATTAGAAGTTGCAATAACGTGATAGAAATGGTTTTTAGATACTTTCTTTTATGGCTAGCTATATATTCTGCACCTGATCCCCCCTCACCGGACTTTTAAATCACATAATTCTTTTTTATTTGTTCCTGTGTATCCAATTCCAAATTCACCCATAAAATACTTCCTTTCTCACTACTCACATGATGGAGGGAGATGAGAATATTCAAGCATCAAAGGGGAAAAATGATGAAAGCTTCGCCAGCTTGGAGGCACCAAGGAAGAAAAACAAGAAGATAGAAAACAAGAGGAGGTTCAGTGATGAACAGATAAGGTCACTAGAATGCATATTAGAGACAGAGTCAAAGCTTGAGCCAAGGAAGAAGATGCAACTGGCAAGAGATCTTGGCCTGCAGCCTCGCCAAGTTGCCATATGGTTTCAAAACAGAAGGGCGAGGTGGAAATCAAAACGCATAGAGCAAGAATACAGGAAACTGAAGGATGAATATGACAATTTAGCATCTAGGTTTGAGTCCCTAAAGAAAGAGAAGGAGTCTTTGCAAGTAGAGGTAAGTTTCTGGTTGTTGTTCTGACAAGATTACTTGTTAGTTCTTACTGTTGATTCTCTCAACAAAGCATGCGACCCTTAACTTAGTTATTTGTTCCTCAAACAGTTGCAGAAGCTAAGTGATTTGGTGGTGTCATCACATGATGGTGGAAGGGAAGACAAGAGTGCCAAAGAACACAGCATAGAGGATGGTGGTTCAGGCAGTGGATACAGCAGTTGGAAGCCTGAAGCAAAACCAAGGTTTTCAAATGAGGGTTTGGAAGAGAGATTAGGTGTGTATTCAGATGATCAGAACGAGAATAGCATCATGAGGAGTGAGAAATCTGAGGACAAAGGACACCAACTTCTCAGAATGGATGATAATGATCACGCTGAGATGCCATTAGCATCACTTGAAAAATGGTACAGTAGTGTGGACCCTAATGGCATCTTGGACCAGTCATGTAGCAGCTCTCAGTGGTTAGATTTCTGGACTTAAAAAAGTGAACAACACTCTGCGTTCCATGTATGATGTTTGTTTCCTCCAACNTAAAGAAAGAGAAGGAGTCTTTGCAAGTAGAGGTAAGTTTCTGGTTGTTGTTCTGACAAGATTACTTGTTAGTTCTTACTGTTGATTCTCTCAACAAAGCATGCGACCCTTAACTTAGTTATTTGTTCCTCAAACAGTTGCAGAAGCTAAGTGATTTGGTGGTGTCATCACATGATGGTGGAAGGGAAGACAAGAGTGCCAAAGAACACAGCATAGAGGATGGTGGTTCAGGCAGTGGATACAGCAGTTGGAAGCCTGAAGCAAAACCAAGGTTTTCAAATGAGGGTTTGGAAGAGAGATTAGGTGTGTATTCAGATGATCAGAACGAGAATAGCATCATGAGGAGTGAGAAATCTGAGGACAAAGGACACCAACTTCTCAGAATGGATGATAATGATCACGCTGAGATGCCATTAGCATCACTTGAAAAATGGTACAGTAGTGTGGACCCTAATGGCATCTTGGACCAGTCATGTAGCAGCTCTCAGTGGTTAGATTTCTGGACTTAAAAAAGTGAACAACACTCTGCGTTCCATGTATGATGTTTGATTCCTCCAACAAGGAACAAAGATCGGTTCATACTTGGCTGGAAGATCTTGTGCTGCCAACTGGTCAAAACTCAACATTCCAGCCTTGAAGAATGTCGAATAGGCCAAGAAACTGGAAAAAAGTTTTGTAGGCTTGATTTGATAGGGAGAGAATTAAGCTAGCCTCACCAAATTCAATTGTGTAGAGATTTGGAAAAGGAAATAATGTGAAATGATGTCTCTGTTTGTTCATGCTTGCATGCCTTTCCCATCCCTTTGCGTGTGTGTGTGTGCGCGTGTTCTTTCTTCCTTTTCCTTTTCCCACTACAAGGGGTTAATACTTAATATTCTTAAGGGGACCTCTCTTTTATCACTTTAGCTTATTCCAAGTGCGATCTCTACAGGAACAGAAACAAAACGAATGAACCGTGTCAATAAGAAATTGCTCCATGGTTCAATTTCTTAGCTTTTCCTATGGACTTATTTCCATGGTAAAAGGAGAGTGATATGCTATCTCAACTAAGTTCACGGCCCTTAGAGCAGAAGAGAATTCCAGTAGAAAAACCTGTTAGAGGAATGGATTATAATGGTTAGAATGACTGCATAAACATCGTCACACAAAATCCATGTTTTTTATTACAATAATATAATTAGATCCTCCAACTTTGTTTAGATATTCAATATATGGAATTATGTCCCATAATAAATTGTTAATAGTAGATCACGCAACGCAACATTCTTAAATACTGGGCACTAATTTTGGAGGAGAATTACAGGTCCTGAAAGGGAATTCAGTTCTTATGTTTTCACTTGTTAGTTGTCTTGCTTAAAGTGAGTTCAGCAACATATATTCTGCTAAAATACCAGAATGTTGATTGAGTACTTCAAACATAAAATAGTTGAAATATAAAAAGTAATAATTACATTCGGATGAATTACACTTATCATATTTATTAAATTAGAAGATTAGAAGAGTGTCCCTACATTTGAATGGATCAGAACTCCAGCTCAGACTCATCTCTTATCCTACCCCATATAAACAACCATCATCTTAGCGATATCATAAATGCACAGACATCAAATATGAAGTGAAAATAATGAGTGTGAATTAGACATTACGATAAGTTCCCATCTTCAATCAAACATCACTTAGCAAACATTTTCTTCAAACAATCTATTTTATTATAAAAAAAATTAACTGGGCCTTGATAAATGTATGCATGAATATCAACTTCACGTGATTCTTTTCACATTTGTCATTGAATTGTGTTCTATCAGAGAATGATAGATAATGAATCAAATAAAATAAATGTAAGTATTTTAACAAACAAGAAAGTTTGGCCGAGTGGTCTAAGGCGCCAGATTTAGGCTCTGGTCCGAAAGGGCGTGGGTTCAAATCCCACAGCTGTCAATATTTTTAATGATTTTTTTGTTTTTCTAAACTGATCCATGAGGAAATCGAAATTCAATGGTTACCACATACACAAAACATCAACTGATATTAACTGTTAGAAACTGGTCTCTGTCTGATTCTTCTATCAGTGTTTCATATTTTCACTCACCCTTCATCAATGGCACTCTCAGTTTGCAGTGTTGGCCCCTGGAATCTTAACCCCAAAGCATTATCAACACCATCTTTCTCCTTCAAGTCCCTCAAATTCCCTCCCTTTTGGCCAACCCAAAAGGTAAAAACAATTTTCCTTTTGCGGCATGTGTGGTATGGTACGGTGTGAGTGGGAAGGTAGCTTCAAATTTCAATGGTTGATTGTGGCAGGTGAAGATGGGTCCTCTGAGTGTGTCTCCCATGGGGTTTGGAACTTGGGCATGGGGCAATCAGTTTCTCTGGGGGTACCAGGAATCCATGGATAATGAGCTCCAACAAATCTTCAACATGGCTCTGGACAACGACATCAATCTCTTTGACACTGCTGATTCTTATGGCACTGGAAGGTTAAACGGTCAGAGTGAGAAGCTTCTGGGGAGGTTCATTCGAGAATTTCAAGGTTCATCTCACATTCCTTTCGAACTTCCAGTTACTTTATTATATATTCTGTTGTGGGTTTGAGTGCATGTGTAAATAAATAATTCATTGTTACTTGCCCTGCCTAAATGGCCTTGTTGTTTGATTTATGTTAATTCTCTGCGTCATAATTATCATGATGTAATCTGTAAAACTTTTTACACTGTAACCATTGAACTTTTTAAAAAAAATTTTTTTATCGAAGTAAACATACTTTGTATACAAGATGGTTTGTAATTGAAAGGTAGTATATAAAATCTTTACATTACAAGTGTGTCTGTGAGTGTGTATTATATATATGGTGATTCTTTTATTCACATTAGTTGACCATATTGAATGTAAGACTTCCTTAGAGAAAAAGGGGAGCAAGCGTGACATAGTAATTGCTACAAAGTTTGCTGCATATCCATGGCGCCTTACACCAGGGCAGTTTGTGAATGCTTGCAGGTATTTGTATGTCTATCAAATACTTCGTCAACTTTCCCATCTCCCATGACAAATATTTGCTTTGTGTCTTTTTCTTTTTGCGTATGGTGTTAAATTTGGATGAAATAAACTTTCAGGGCGTCACTAGATAGAATGCAAATTGAGCAAATTGGGATAGGACAACTACATTGGTCAACTGCAAATTATGCTCCTTTGCAGGAATTAGCTCTTTGGGATGGTTTAGTGGCAATGTATGAGAAGGTTACGATAATTCACGTTTAATAGCAATATTATCGGTATATATAATTAAGACCTTGAGTGAAACATTGTTTAAGGACTAGGCTGAAGGGTAACTTGTAAACGCGTTCTGCTATCTAAACTTCATAACTGATGTTTGCAATGATAGTAGGTAGCATAAACCTGTAAGGGGAGGAAGGAAACCATAATCTTCCTTTTAATGCACAATGTGGATAAGGTCATTCAGAGTGATTTTTGATTATACATTCTTTTTCAGTGTTAGATCCTCATATTTAAACATTGACTTCAATGGTTATTACATCGTCAAGAAAAATTAATTTAAATTTCTTGAATGATCCAAATTTCTGTACTCATATATGTTGTCGTTTAGGGTTTGGTTAAAGGTGTTGGAGTAAGTAATTACGGACCAAAGCAGCTTCTAAAGATACATGATTATCTGAAAGACCGTGGAGTCCCCTTATGCTCAGCCCAGGTATGAAGTTATGTGTAAATGTAATTTAGCATTCAAAATTTGCTAGACATAATGGGAAAATAGGCATGATCTGATCAAATTCAAACATAATGGGAAAAATTTTCTTCATGATTTCAATGTTTCAGGTGCAGTTTTCTTTGCTAAGCACGGGGAAAGATCAACTAGAGATCAAGAGTATATGTGACTCTCTGGGTATCCGCATGATTGCTTATAGTCCTCTGGGACTTGGAATGCTTACTGGGAAATACTCACCATCTAAACTTCCAAGTGGGCCAAGGTATGTTGATATTTAAGGAAATATTTTTGGGGGATAAACGGTGAATAATTTTGTATCACAATGCATTATTATCTTGTAGAATACTTTAGTGATTAACCACATTTCACAGGGCGTTGCTATTTAAGCAAATACTTCCGGGATTAGATCCTTTATTGAGTTCCCTGAGAGATATTGCAAATAAACGGCGGAAAACCATGTCACAGGTGATCAGTTTCCCATTTTCGTTTTCTCTTTATGCTGCCAATTTCTCGTAGATATCTTGTGAATGTCTCTTGGTAGTAAAAGATGCATTGCAGGATTGCTAACTAAAAGCAAGTTGAATGCTTGATCATGGATCTTTTAAGAAAGATAGTGATGTGTGTATCACTCGTTTTAGTTAGACTTCATTTTCTCACATGTGTTTGAGTAAGGAGCACAAAAACTACCAAAATCTAAACTAGTTTTATCTCTTTTGCAAAGCTGGGTCCTCTTAGCCTGGCCAATCTTTTGCATAACAATTTTTATTCCATCTTTGTAGTCATATTATTCATGCTGTAAGCATCTTTCTTCGGTTTTTAATCAATATTTTTTGTACACTGTGCTCGTTCCTGTGCTCCAGATCAACCAATAATAAACTCTGCATAACAGGAGACCAAGATCTTTTTTATTCAAGGAAGCTTGTACATCACATATTATTCCGTTGAAGGATTTGTGTAATATCAATGTCATTGATATGTGGATTGAGAAAGGGGACTACAGCATCTTAAAAGAAAATTTAGTATAGTTTCATAACTTTGAGTGCTGCTTTTCAATCATATTTAAAGTTTCACCTTAGTAAAATGTAATACATTTAGTACGATGTATATTACCAAGGTAAAACTTTAAATATGATTAGAAAACCGTACACTGTAGAAGTCTTATCATACATCTTATCCACATAAAACACGAGAACTAATGTTGCTTCATTATCAAGATCAACTACCTAGAAGCAAACTTTTAATATCACATTCATGTTTTTGAAGGTCGTACTTCCCTACGCAGCTTACTTTTTTAAAGGTTATATATAAAGTAGTAGCCTTTTACAGAACCACCGACCAACCCACTTAATTGTCCTTGTCTTAGGTGCGTGGAAAATGACAATGCTGACCGCCTACTTGACCATGCCCGAACAGCATACCTTATCACAATCTCATTCTTTCATTTATCATGTCAGGTAGCCATAAATTGGTGCATTTGCAAAGGTACAGTTCCAATTCCTGGAGTCAAATCAATTAAACAAGCGGAGGAAAATTTAGGTGCTCTGGGTTGGCGCCTATCCTCAGACGAGTTGCTTCGTTTAGATTATGCAGCAAACGAATCACCTCGAAGAATGATCCAAAACATTTTCCAAACCAGGTACACATATTCTTTTACTTTTAACGTTATAAAGGCAAATCACATAACACACAAAAGAGGTTGCAATGATACAAGTGTTTTACGTGATTTGGTATTCATAACAGATAAAATATGAAGCGAGACCTCAGCACAAGGTGCGGACGGAGAAAAAGCTTACTTTCACTCACTGAAGGTCACATTCCTTTATCATCTGGTATCAAGAAAGGGGAGTAGAGCTAATGGATGCGTTTCATTTTTACTTGTCCAGGATAATTGCCAGCTGATTAACCTGATTGAGGATGCCATACTATCACTTTTAGGTTTTTGTGATGGGCGACTAAAATACAGAAGTAAGAAGCCGCGATGCCACACAGTCACTTCATATAGCATTGCTTTGTATTTTCATTGTTAAAAATCATACCGACTTAGAAATAATTGTTCAATGCACAATAATAAACTAGGCTTTCAACGAAGACCAGAAACCACACTCAGAATCCGAACACTCTGAAAAACAGCGACGTCTCCGTCAAAGCTTTTTAATCCTCCGACCGCGAGCCCAAAATAAAAACAAACTCATTACGCTTCTAAGGGCATTGGAGTTAAATTAAAGAAAAGGATTTAAGAAATCATAATTACGGTAATGGTGTATCACGAGTTATGTGAAAAACATAAGAAAATTATGGAGTCGAAATTACGGGCCTGACCTTCCACAACTTATAATGGAAATAAAAGGAATTAAGTAATAAAAAAATTGTCAGAGAAACATCCACTTCAAACGCATTATTGTCAAAAACAAAATTGTATCACCATTAGAAGGAACTGTAGAATAATTCATAACGAGTCTCAAACTGAAAACAAGAATAATGAGTAACTACGATACTAAGAAGCTAATGGAATTGTCAGGTTTACACCATATCCAGTAATCCATAACATGTTTGCATCTTGCAGCGAGAACAGTTTACTTGATCTTCTTCTTTGGCCTCAACTGCAATACAAAATAAAAGCCTCAAATAACTCGAAATTTCATTCCATAAAATTTTAGTGAGATATGGCGCTAAAAAATTATTATACCTGGTTGCTGTGTCCACACTTCTTTTTCCTGCAGTTCACAGCACGAGGGTGTAAACGTGCGTAACACCTGCAAAGCATATTGATTTATGAGCATAATGGCTGTGAATGGACATTAGTAATCGTCATGGACACTGAACATGAATAAGTTAAGCAAATGTATATAACGTAGGCTTTCTAATACTTGTATTCCAACATGCATCCCTTAGTTCTCAAAAGAACCAGAGTTTTGCTATGAATACTACTAAGACACTTTTTAAGAATATATTGTTTCAGATTACATTTGATTTACAGCACATGGGAATTCAACACCACCTTACTAAAACAGAAGTAACCCAGAAGAAAACACTGATGCTTTTTAGAGTGCACTTAATTTGAAGCTCGCAACCTATTAATATCAAATTCATTTTATAAAAACGAAGTTCAAGTCCAATATAGAACATTTTGGAAATTCCCAACAGGGAAATATGATTTGATGCATTGAATTGTATCTTCTCAATCCAAATTACAAACAAGTTCCATAAAATAATTAATCTGTAAAGGAAATTGTCCTTTGATTCAGCATTGCCTAAGCAAGTTAAGCAATTATTCAAAATCCATTTTCGCAACGTATGCCTGGTGCTATAAAAAAGATAGCTGCTCATAGCCTAATACGCATCAAGATTTCAATGCATCTAATGAAGTCAAAGGTAAAAGGGACTTAAACTTGGCTTGGATGGGGGAAATAAGAGGAAAGAAGATAAAGGGGAGGAATATTATGAATATGTGGGTATTCTCTGGTACATAAATGCTATTTTACCCTTGTAACAAAAATTTATCATTTAGATGTCACTCTAGCTAATTAATAATTCCTTGCCAAGGGTGAAACAATGTTATTAGAATAGTAAATAAATTATTCTGAACGAAGAGTTTAGCATCCCTCCCCTTATCCATCGCAATGATTGATCAAGAATGGGTGGATGTGGGACAAGAGTAGACAAATAAAAGGGTTAAAATTAACCAACATGCTAGTGGTGGGTGGGAACATGGTATAAGGAACAAAACATAGGTCTTCGATACAGTGGCTGAGTAGAGAGCCACAATACCTTCTCACAGGGATTTCCAGATACACGTAGCTAAAAGAAAACAACAACCTGATGTTGCCATACATTTTTCATACAGACATCCAGTGTAGACAAGCACCTCATTCAGCATTCAGCATTTATATATGAAATCAGTACACTGCTTGCAGACAGATTAGGCTTGCAACATTGAGTTTCATGTGACTTTCTTAAACAATATAAAAAGTTTTTTGTCAGCTTTGACTATACTTCACACAAGAGCATAATTCAAATTAAGAAAAATATATCAAATTAGTTCTGGATGAACCAACTGGATCCAATACTAGGATGTGTAAACTTACTTGCGGCAGATCATCTTATCCTGGTTATACTTTCTGGCCAATGCCATCAAAGATGGCTCAATAATACCACCACGAAGCCTTAAAACAAGATGCAATGTTGACTCTGCAAAAATAGAGAAACCAACACAATGATAAGTCTCACAATTTACACTAAAGTATTTGAGCATAATTAACAATACTTGAGGCCTGCTCTTTCTCAGCCAAGCAGCACGAAAGTGCTTGGAGTCGGACACAATAAAGTAAAAAGTATCTGATTGTCATATTCATAAAAAAATTTATGTTAATTCTTATCAATTTAAAAACAACAGATTTCCACCCAAACACCTACACACGTATATGGCTAACTACAATTCCTAAAATCTATCTTAAAAAAACAAATCGAACAATTACCGCATTCAAAGCATTAGAGCAATTAACAAGGCCAAACGACACGGAATTTCGAAATTGAGATTTTGCATACCTTTTTGGATGTTGTAATCGGCGAGAGTACGGCCATCCTCCAGCTGTTTTCCGGCAAAGATCAACCTCTGCTGGTCCGGGGGAATTCCTGGAAAGAGAATGAAACAGAACGAGTCAAACCAAGAACGAATAAGAGAGAACGACTAATCAATGGTACCGTTTCGATTAAACTGCACCTTCTTTGTCCTGAATCTTTGTTTTGACATTATCAATGGTGTCACTTGACTCCACCTCAAGGGTGATGGTCTTCCCCGTTAGGGTTTTCACGAAGATCTGCATCTTTCCTTATCTTCCCAAACTGCTATTAGGGTTTCTCGCTTGGTTGTACGTAATATTTATATTGAAGCGTTAAGAGTAGTAGGGTTTTCAGAACCAAGGGTGTGTTTGGTTAGCCGGATTATGTTATTCCAGACCTATTTCTTTATTCTTTTTCATTTGGCAAAGGCTTATTCTTCTTATGATATTAGTGGCTAAAAATATATGCTCAAAATTATATTTGATATGATTTTCTATTATAGTTTCAAAGTATATGGATTTTAATATTTTTAAATATACCAAACGTCACATATTTGAGTTGTTAAAATTTCGTGAAAGTATGCCTATGCACATCAAATTTTTAGACTGCACAAAAATAATAACGAATATATTTTTGTGACTAAATTTCCTTATAATTTAATTTATTTTGTATAAATATGTGAAAGGTCACTAGTCACTAGTTCATCTATATAATAATAAAAAAAATCATAGGATCGTCGTTATATTTGTATGGGAATCTCAAGTGGGTCCGTATTTGTAACTATATCTTGTTGAGTCCAAATATTTGAAAAATTGAGTCAATTTGTCATGTGTGTTAAGTTCTTACAAACAGCGTCAAAGTTTGCTGATGTGTGGTGATGCTGATCTGTGTGATCTTATTACGTAGAAATAAATTTTAAATTATGACGTGAAATTTGATAAAATAAAAAAAAATAAAAAAAAATAAAAAAAGCACTTCTTCACCCAAATTAGGGTTCTGCAGAGCAGATTCTTAAACGATTTAAGATTATGAACTACGAGTTTCATGAAAGCCGCCGACCACCATGCTTCATTGTCGCTCATGGCACTCATTGCAACCCTTACTTAGCCCTCCACTCATAATCATTCTCTTCCCCATCGTCATTCTCACCATCCTCTTCCTCGCTTTGCCCCTACTCCTGTCCGCTGCCACGCACCTTATACGCACAGCCTCCGTCAAGACCAACTGGGACTCCCTCAACACCCTCCTCATCGTTTTCGCGGAGAGAGATATGGCAACCATTGTTTCCTTTTACCAACAACCCCATTTGACGATGCTTCTCTTTCTTCCCTTATTTCCATCAGAAGACGCGAAAGATTTGGTTTTTGTGGAGTTTTCAATTGTGGGTCTGTGTTGGATTTGGTTTGTTTTTAGGTACCTGCTTGTCGCTGAGCACAGTGCAAAGACGCGCGTTTGTGGTTTGCGAGGTTGCCCCGAAGAAAAAGGTGGACTCCGCTGTGAAGAGAGCTCGCCAAATGAATTTACTTGTATTGCCAAATGAATCAACAACAACATCTTCAGTGATATCTACAACACGATTTGGATCGCCAAATGAATTTACTTGTATGACTTGATTCCCATTGTAAAGAACATCAAACTGAACATGTGTAAAAAGGTAATAGTTTTGTTCTCCTCCACCAGGAGTCCACGTATCTTCTTCTAGTTTCCCAATGAACCCCCAGAATTGGAAGTAAGATTCACGGTCTATAGCGCGCTTAAAGAAGCCAATTTCATCAACTGTAAGCTTCTTTGGGCACAAGGTCTCATCAATCTTGTCCTCTCTAAGCCTCTGTTCGCTTGAAGGTGAAACACTGTTTATGAAGAAAAGAGAGCGATGATTTGCGAGGCACAAGCTGTTCGTTTGTGCTGATTTGTGAGCGAAGAAAAGCGATCATTTGCGGGATGAAGCTCTTTTTTTTATCTCGCTATCAAGAGGAGATTTGCGCTGATTTGTTCACAAATTACATATGTGCCCTCTAAAACTGTTGCACATTATCTTGTCCACGTCTCTCTCTCCTCGTCCGGGTGTGCCAAAATCTGCCACCGCGATGTTGTGTTTCTCGCCACAATTTTTGCCAACAACAATTGACCTCCTGGAGCTTAGTCGCCATCTCGTCGTTTCGTGGTGGCACCTCCACTTGCAAGCGGGAGGCGGGGAGGAGCACCACCGCGTGTTTGGAGAGATGATGAAACAGTTGCCAGTCTCAGCCGTAACCGATTAAGCTTCTTTGGTTTATCGGTTACGTGATGTGAAGGAATTGTGAGCTTGTCTGTAATCGGTTTCGTCACGTGGTAACCGATTACAGAACTCTGTTGTTTTGGTTACTTGGAGGGGTATACGTTGAAACTGGAAGCCTGTTTCGACGACGCTTTTTCCCCATTTTCAACCGCAAGATACCAAGTACGCCAAGGGAAGCAGCATCGCCGGCGGATGCGATTCCGACGCGGCAGTCCTCCGGTTCCCTATCACCGGAGACGATCTTACCGGAGCGAGACATGATCGTTACAGGTTCCCGGTCGGATTCGTCGTTCTTCGTCGGAAGGCGGCATGAATTGGAGGGAGTCCCGGCAGCTATTTACTGCATGTGGACCGGGTTTCGGGCTGGGTGTGTGGGGTTTGTAGGCGGGGAGGGGAGGGAGTTCTGGGTAGTGGGAGGGTACGACGATTGAGGAATATTTTTCTGGTGAATGAGTATTACAGGATGCGGATTGCATAGGTGAGTATATGACAGAGAAGATGCGGATGCGAGTGGTTTGATGGAAAGTTGGGGGGTGTGCGGAGGGGAGGGTTTAGTGCGGATTGTGGGGGGATGTAAATATTTCTTGAATATCTGAGCGATCAGATGCAGTGGTGATGAGTTGAAGGGGGGGGGGGGGGGGGGGCGGAAGGGAGGTTGGGGATGGTGTGGGGGGATAAAATTGTTCTTTCTTAATTATAGTTTTAATTCAAATTTTATGGGGAATAAATCTTCATTTTTGAAAAATCAAATAAAAAAATAAATTAAAATACTCTTTATATTACAAAGTTACTTTAAGAAATATTTTTGGATTCTATTGGATTGGAAGAAATAAATTATTATAAATAGTGGAAGGTTAAGTTATTTTTATTGAAAAAAAGAAGAAACATTTATTATTTAAAAAACAAACAAAAAAAATAGGTGACAAATTAAATACTACATTAAAAAATAAATTATTGTTTACTACATTATAATTTTATAATTTTAAAAATTTTAATTTTAAAAATATTTATAATTTTTTTTCTCTTTTAAAACTTTTATAATTAAAGAAACATTAATAAAAAACTTTTATATTCTTGTATAACTAGGGGGCTTGTGGAATTGCGTTAATTTATACCAATGTAAACGATTTTTTAAATCGTCACATCAATACACATCCTACACTAATTCTCACAAACTTTACTTCCCAAATCCACTCTCAATATTAACACACAATCCACTCAAAAAAAAAAAACAACAAAAAAAGAGTGATTTCCCCTGCACCTCACCGCCTTCTCACTGCACCTCCAAAACATATTGTAATTCCAATGATACCCTTCGTCTTTCATAACACTTAACGAGAATATTTTGAATCTTTTAAAAAGTCAACTGCCTGCCGCATCCTCAAACTCAACCCTACACCCCTTCCAAATCAGTTCTCCCTTTTTTCTATGCCTCATTCTTATAATTTTGCTCTCACCCCGTATTCTGCCATTTTTCTCCGGGTTCCCGCATGTGCCAAGTTGCGTTCGTGTAGTGCAAGCGTTGTCCTTCGTTGCTTTGCGTCGTCCGTGCTTGGTTCGTCGGGTCGTTGTTTTTTCATAGTGAGGTTTTTATGGGTCTAGTACCCTTCCATCTGCAAAAAACCTTTCCATCTGCTTGTTTGTTGTTCTAGGCAGTGTGCTGGTTGGGTGTCACTTCGTGCGCCGGAGGTTGGTTCGTGTTCGTCGCCGGAGGAACTTAAACGCCGTTGGAGTTGCGGTCACAGACGTCCGCAGTTGGAAGTGCGGTCAGGTGCACAGAGAAACCGCATTTCGAAGGCAAAAACAAACCGCGTGCGATCTGCAAGAGAAAGCAACAAACCCACGCACCGCAGTCGAAATGGTAACGCACGGAGATCCCACCGCATTTCGATTTGCGGCTGAGACAAACCGCACTTCGAAGTGCGTTAGATTTTTAGGGTTTAGTTTTTTTTTTTTTTATTAGGTAGTAATATTTATTGTATGAGGTTTTCTTTTTATTTAAGGTTAGTATAATAAATTTAATTTTTTATGTTAGTTGCTAAATTAAAATTTTTTGTGTTTAATTAATTTTGAATATTTATTTTATTGTTTGGTATAAATTTGGGGAATTTTGTTATTTTTCAACATATATATTATTGTTCGTATTATATTATTAAAGGTTAAATATGTATTTAATTATTATGTAAGTTTTTAATTTTTATGGAAATTGAAAAATATTATTAAATTGTTTATTGAATTAAATAATAATTCTTATATGTAATCTTACAATATATTTGGATTTATTTGTAATAATTTAATTATTATATATGTAATTTTTTTGGAATTCGTACCATAAAAATGTGCACATAAATATTGTGACCACTAGCAAAACGCACTTCGAAGTGCGGTTAGGAAACAACATAAATATAAAACGCATTTCGAAGTGCGACCACTAGGGAACGCACTTCAAGTGTGACCACTAGGGAACGCACGTCGAAGTGCGGTTAGGAAACAATAAATAAGTTTTCACTTTTTGTTAAATAAAGGGGTAAAGAAGTAAATTGGGGGTGCAGGCCAAAGGGGGTCAGGTGCAGGGAGAATCACTCACAAAAAAAATTACCTTCAAATCCACTCAAATCCATTCAAATCATCTCCCCCAAATCATCTCCCCCAAATTCTTTCAAAAGAACACACCCTAAACTTAAATCATACAAAGCATTGCTCAAACGGTCACCATTGAGAAACTTCCCCCAGGGACTCTCTCTTTTTGACAATTGGGATGTGAAAAAACACAACCTTTTTATAATCCAAGTTGTTCAAATTTCCAATCCAATGATCATTTGATCCCATTTTTCAACACCACGGGATTAAAAATTTAACCTTTAACCTAAGACCAAGAGTGACTAACCTGGGGCGCAGAATGGCAAATCATAGTAATTCATAGGTCTCACTTGCCACAAAGAATGTGTAAACTAGAAATTCAGTGAACACAAACGTGGAAAAAAAAGTAATGAGGGAAAGAATGAACATGGGGGTTGTGGAAGGGACCCACTTTGTTGACAAA